ATAAGCATAGCCATGTGTATGTATTTTTCCTTCATGCACAACCATGGGGGAGGTTGTACATCCATACAAACATGGGCCATGTGCTATGATTGGTGTTCTGGTTGCCAAATGGATTCATGCCATCACTACTAGCGCCAAGCACGATGTTCCTTGGATCATTCGCGAAAAATTCAAATTCAGCATTTAATGCTCTCCACTTGCTAGCATCTACGAGGTGTCTCAGCTTTGGCTCATCTCCGTCATTTGGCTTTACCCTCTCCGTGTGCCAGCGCATAAGCTTTGCTTCCTTAGGAACTACGAAATACCGCTGTAGACGCGGAGTGATCGAAAAGTACCATACAACTTTCTGTAGAGCTTTCTTTCTGGCCTTTTTATATCATGAAGCATTGCACTTTGGACAGATGGTTTTTTCCACGTGCTCATTCTGATATATGATGCAATCATTGATGCATGTGTGATATCTAATATTTGGCAGATCAAGAGGGCACACGATTTTCTTCGCCTCCTCGACACTAGTAGGACACAGGCTTCCCGCGGGAAGAACCTTCTTTAGATACTTCAGAAGCTCATCCAGGCTTGTATATGTCCATTTATTTTTGCCTTCGTCTTTATAAGTTCTAGTGTGAAACTCAAGTAGGTCACCTCGGGATTGCAACCATCATACAAAGGAGCCATCGAGTCTACCTCCAGTTGCGCCAGTTTGGCCTCCTCTCTTGAAGCAGCTCTGTAGCTACTCGTCTTCTTGCGAAGTAGGTCTCGAACATGTGGGTCCCGCATGGCTGAACTTAGTAGCAAAGAAGACGGCGGCGTGTCCGCGTCTTCTCCGCCTTGAACTTCCTCTTCACCATCGACATTTCCGAGGTTGTCTTCCTCTTCGGGCACATAATCGGTCATCTCTTCATATGGTGGCCCCATGTCGTTATTTCCTGCCCCGTCGACGTCCTCCTCATCATCATCATCTTCACTTATCCACCGAGTATGGCCATGCATGAGACCATGCATGAGCAAGTGCGCCTTGAATTTACCACCCTGAAAGGGGTCGAGCCTGACTCTTCCTTTGCAATTTTGACACGGACATAAAACATCCTTCAGTCTTTTTTCATACATGTCATCCACAGCGGATTGCCAGTATCTTTCCACCATCCTTCCATTGACCTTCATGATCACATGCGCGTGGAGCAAATATTATAACCACGTATATATGCATGCATGGATCAAATTCATACCAAAATTCGGCATGACCTTCCCTAAACATAGGACATATTGAGTTTGCCCGAAATTCACCGAAACGGAATTGAATCAACATTTCGGCAAAACATAGGCAACTCATGTCACTCACATGCCACACACAATTCGGTATATTCATATCGCACATAGTTTCGGTCCTAATCGCAAACACACATATTTCCATTCTTGCACAACTCTTTTTTTGCTCACCTATTTGTCGAGAGGGATATCGAGCACCTTCTTAGCTCTAGATAGTGAGGTACCTACATAATAAATATAGCTCCAACTAGCTAGGGAGAGAGAGAGATCTATGAGAGGGAGGAGGGAGGGCATTAATGGAGGGGGAGGAGGGGCAAAGAAGAGGGGGAAGCATTGAAGAACAAGCAAGTGCAAGAGGGAGGGGGAGAAAGAAAGGGGGAGGAAGAAGAGGGAGGAAGGTGGCAGATATTTTGGTTGGCGACCATAGCAGTAGCGTGGGGCACCAAAGCGCGCTACTGCTATGTGTGCCAGCCAAAATATCTACTCGTACATAAAACTAGCTATAGTGCTTGCCTAAAAAATACGCTACTAATAAAAGATTACACATAGAAGAAGTAGCAGTAGCGCTTCTTTGTTGGCCAGCGCTACTGCTATTTTATTAACAGTAGCCCTTGTTAGGGTACCAACACTGCTACTATCTTTTGGCCGGGGGGTGTGGTGTGGCTAACTTACCAGTGGTGTGCTCTCTAGAAACCAAAGCTACTGCTAAGTCGTACCAGTAGCGTTCTTTGTAACACACGCTACTGGTAATTATCAGTAGCGTGGGCGCCAAAACACACGTTGCTGGTAAACTTCTATGTATAAGCCTTTTCCTAGTAGTGACAGTTCACATCAACGACAGACAACTTATACTACATCTAAAACTTGAAATGAAATTGAACTTTGCCACTTCCGGGTCGGCCTTCTGGTCGTCGGTGTAGCTGTAGCCGTCAGCGGCTGGTGGAGGATCATCTGATTCGTCAGACGAGGAGGAGGAGACGATGACGAGGCCCTTGAGGCACTGGAAGGCCCGGTCCTGCTGGCGCCTGAGCTTGGCCAGCCGAGCCGTCTCCTTCGCCTTCTCCTTCGCCTCCTGCTCGGAATGCTCGATGGCAAGTCGGAGAGCCTTCGCGTTCTTCCAGGAAGCCGTCAAGCGTGTGTCTCCGCCGTCATAAGTGACTGGCGGTAGACCCACGCGAGGAGCCGTGCGTCCTCGTCAGGCTCCGTTGATACCCCTCGACGGTGGCAGACAGAGCTCTCTGCAGTGTCTCTCTCCCTTGCCCGCCGCCTCTCGCAGCGGGCGGCGCGCGCCTCCGATTCCGTCGTGCGCGTCTAGGCCGGCGGGACGGGCACAAGCACCCACCGCTACCCACGAAGGGGAGCAGCAGCCGGCGGGGCCAGGGGACGGGTAGGGGAGGCGCGGATTGTGCAGGCCGCCTATCGGAGCTGCCCTGGGCCGGGAGGGGCCAGCATCGACGTCTGAGCTATGCTAATGGGAAAGTTGCAACTGCGGCAAGGCTGCAGATCCGGTGCTGCCCCCAGCCTCCATCTTGGACCGCTCCAAGGCGATGCGGAGGGCAAGCTCATACTCCGGATCCAGCACGTCGTCGGAGCAGCTGCCGGAGCTCGACATTGCACCGGATTCGATCGGAATCGGTGCGGGGAGAAGAAAGCATGGAGCGAGAGAGGAGAGTGAGTGAGCTAGGGTTTCAGAGCGATGATCCCGATGAGGTTTTTTTGTGGGACATCCGTGGGGTCGGTGATGGGTCGGGCTTGTCAGGCGGACGCGTCCGGGCATGCCCGAGACGCCTCATATCCGCCCTACATTTGAAACAGATATGAGGGGTGCTGGTCAGCCCGGGCATTTGAGGCCCGTTTGAGAGCTCCGGTCAGGTCGGTATTTTGTGACCGGTCAATGACCAGACAGTTTGCCCGGGCGTATGAGATGGATATAGGACGCCCGGTTGTAGATGCTCTTACCGCTGGAAATAATAGGCAAGGTGGCGACAGACGTTGGAGCTGATAATTCTATACACACGGGACTCCCGCAACGGACTTTCACGGACCCTGCTTCATGCTCTTCTCTAATTGCCAGCTCCCCCCCCCCTCCCCCCTCTCCTAATTTTTCACTAGGGGGCCGCCTCACTTAATCTAATTCAAACCAATCACCTTTAACCACTCCGTAAACGCCCTGTAGCAAGTCCGTGTGTCTAGCATCTCTCCGTTGGAGCTATTGCTAGTTCAGAGTTCAGACCTTCAGCCAAAGAATGTTAAAATGTTCAAGGACTATGATAACTGGCAACCGTGTGCCAGATTGCAAAAATCACCACACCCCCTTGTATCGTACGAAACCCATCCCATCCCGATCGCAAAAATCACAGCAGCCCCTCGTGTCGTACGAAGCCCATCACTCCCGATTTTCTGGGCCATCCCGATCACCCCCTCCCCCGGCACGAACCCCTCCCTTCTCCTGATTTCCAGGCAACCCGGATCCCCCGCCGGGGGCGGGCCCATCGCGATTCTGCACAACAGTTTGAAAAAAGCGAAAAAATGCAATAGGAGGGGAATCGAACCCACAACCTCCCACAATTAATTTAGCAATAACAACCAACTGGGCTACACCACATCATGTGATCTCTTTCAACTTGCACACTACTTGTACCTTCTGAGATGAGATCGACCACCGCGAGCTCCTCTCCAACTCCGGCGACTCGAATCCCGGCCATTTTCCCCTTTGATTTGATTTGAAGGCACCGGCGAATCCATTCCATGAATCTCTCCTCTCACTTTTCTTCTCGTCAACTGCACCGGCGAATCAAGCTCACAAGGGGGTGCAAGTCAATCCTGATCTCTCCCATCCTTCCTTTTCTTACCAAGCCACGCCGGCGACAAGGACGCAAGGGGAGCCGGGACCATGTGCTGGGCGGCAGGAGCAGCCCCTGACCTGCATGACTGCAAGAGGGGGAGCGGCCGAGCCTCGTGAGCTCGCCTCTACCGGCCTCTACGTCCGGCGTTCCGTCGGTGCCACCGATTGATTGCCGTCACGGTTGGAATTGGGAGTACCCCATCCTCCTCCGAGACTCGTCGTCGAAAGGTGCATGTGCTGCTGCACGTACGCGCGCTCGCCGGCGTCCAGGGCGGCAACGCACATAGGCGAGCACCGGCGGAACTCGCATGGCGCTGTGGTAGGACGATGAGGAGGCGTCCGGGTCGTGCGGTGCGGCACGGAGCCCGACACCTTGCGCAGCAGCAGCGACGCCATGGCTTGCCGTCGGACGGGCGGCGGCGGCGAGGCGGCGACCACTATATGTGAGCCGCGACGCGACATCGCCTGAAGGAGAGGACGAGCGCGGGGAAGGAGTGGAAGAACCGAAAAAAGTGGATCATGCTGTGATGCTGACCGAAGGGACACCGAGTGGTGTGGCAGTTTTGTAATCGGGCACAGGGTTGCCAAATACATATATCGAATGTTCAAATAGCTATGTATAGTACAATGTATCCTACTCTATTACGGAGTATATGATTACGAATGAAAATTCACGTCAAAAACGAGCAGACGGGTGCTGGATGGCCCCACGCGCGGCCTAAAAACGCGGGCGAGTTAGTTACGAAGCAACGGCCATGGCTTGCCCCTTACCCCCTGCCCGCGCGTGGAATGGCAGCTACCCATGCCACGGAAGAGAGCACCGCAGCACCACCACCTATGCTTGGCACGGTAGGACTGCGACTCCATCCAAGAGCGGCAGCGCGCGGCGATGGCGTACCGGAGGAAGCAGGGCATCCAGCGGTCGAACACCTTCGTGGAGGACCACCGCCAGCCGTCGCCGGGCGACTCCGCGTCGCCCGCCACCGCGTCCCCGCGCGCCACCCGCTTCGCCGACGACAGCCGCCGGCCCGACCGCTCCCTGGCGGCGCAGACCCTGCTCGCCTCCGCCGCGCGCGGGGACATGCAGGCGCTCGCCGAGCGCTTCACTGCATCCTCCTCGTCCCCGCTCGCCGCCCGGCCGAGTGACCCCGTCACGTCGTCGTCCCTGCGGGTGTCCCCGCGCGCCGCCCGGGCGGCTGACCCCGCCACGTCGTCGTCCCTGCGCGTGTCCCCGCGCTCCGGCCGGCCGAATGACCCCATCACGTCGACGTCCCCACGGGCGTCCCCGCGCTCCGGCCGGCAGAACGACATGTTCGCGCAGGTGCGCCCCTTTCTCCCATCTCCTCCGTCGCCGTTGCCGAATCAGATGCCTGAGCAACCATCTGCTCTGAGACCTCGCAGGATCCTGTGACCATGCTGTACACGTCCACGTCGAGCGCCACGAACGACGACTCCAAGCTTTCACCAGTGAAGAAAGACGAGACGAAGCAAGGACTGTGGGGGCTTCTGGCGCAGCAAGCTAAGGCCATGCTCGACGAAAGTGCCCCCACAGAGGAGGCCCGGAGCCAGCCTCTGGCCACATCAGCCGGCAGTCCGGTAAGGATCGGTCACCTGTTCCATGGAAATATGCAAATGCTGCCTTCACCATGTCATCCACTCCATTTAAGCTTGATTTGCCTCCCAACATTTCTCACCTCATCATCAGCAAGCTCAATCACGGTGGTCCTACGACCCGGTCCGGAAGTCGGAGAGCCCTACGTTCCAGCACGGATCGGAAGGGCCGAAGTTCGACATGGGAGGGCACATCAAGAATGCGCTGGAGGCAAGTCCATTTGGTTAATTCCAGCGTGGCAGAGATCGTCGACTTGTCAGGGCATGAAGATTGATCGACGGGGACGGTTTTGCAGGAGGGCCTGCATGCGGCGACGATGGCGGAGAGCAGGACGCCGGCGGTGGTGGGGAGGAAGCTGCAGATCAGGAGGAAGACGTGCAGCGTGGACATGCGGAGCGCCCACCTGAACCTGGGCACCCCCGACCTCATGTCGCCGATGATGACCGACTTCGAGTCGCCCCAGATCAAAGCTTCTCGCGACGTAAGGTGCCTCCTCTTTTGCGTGCGTGCGTTGGTGTTGGGGTTTCTTTTGTTATGGAATAAGAGCAGCTCCCGCCGTGGATCAGGTGGCGAACGTGATGGCGGCCAAGGTGAAGCTGCTGCAGCGGGAGCTCAAGACGGTGAACGCCGACCTGGCCTTCTCCAAGGAGCGGTGCGCGCAGCTGGAGGAGGAGACCCGCCTGCACCGGGCCGGCAACAACGACCACGCCGCCAACGAGGACCTGGTATACATACATGTTGTGGTTGGCCACTCCCTCCTCCTCCTTGCACCGGCCATTCGTACTCCTGAAAGACATGGTTGATTGCTGCGCAGGTACGGAAGCAGCTGGAGACGCTGCTGGCGGAGAAGGCGCGGCTGGCCACCGAGAACACGGTGTACGCCAGGGAGAACCGGTTCCTGCGGGAGATCGTCGACCTCAACCAGCTAACCGTGGTCGGCCTCCAAGAGGACATCATCGAGGAGGAAGAAGAAGAAGAAGAATACGAGGAGGAAGAAGAAGAATACGAGGAGGAGGAAGAGGCCGAGCACGACACACCGGCCAACCCCGGCACTGCCCCTCCCAAGCCCCCCTCACATCACACCGACAATGTGCATGTTGCTGCCCCACAGCCGCCCTCTCGCCGCACCGACAATGCGGCTGTTCCTGCCCCCAAGTCTCCCTCACATCGCACCGACAATGCACCGGTTGCTGCCCCCCAGTCGCCCTCTCGCCGCACCGACAATGTGCCAGTTACTGTCCCACAGTCGCCCTCTCGCCGCACTGACAATGTGCCGGTTGCATCTCCCTGCACCGACAATGCGCCGGAGTCGAGGAGCACAGACAACAGCAGCAACGCTGCCATCGGAGTTGCCGGGTCGCCCATGCACCGGAGTCCAAAGGAAGATGAAGGTTCACAGCAGACAAACCCCATTCGAGATAATTGCTCGCCGGAGAAGGCCTCCCAGCAGCAGCAATGCCAAGACTGACGAGCGGCCTTTGGTGTTTGCTAAAACAATCATGTACTGTATGTACACGCACGCATGTAGAGAAGGCCTCTTCGTCTCATTTGTTACCTTTTTCCCCAGTGTAATTACCAGTTCGCCTGTTCAAGGTGAGACATAATATGAGCATCATATCCATGGATCTGTGATTCTTAGTTCCTGATGTAGGCCCTGTTCGGTAATCATCCGCTCCTGGAATCTGCAGAGCAGAAAACTGCAACTCCGCCATTCTGAACTGTAGCTCCCCCAACTCCGCTGCCGGAGTTGGGGAACGGAGCGATACCGAACAGCACAGTAATATCAACTCTAGCAGAAACACATAAAACTTCATCTACAGATTTTGGTTGCTCCATTCAGAACCACAACATTCTTGCACAAGCTACTGCCACACTTAAGGCCAGTTTAAGGCAGCTGTGATAAATGCGGAAATCCAGTAAAACGTTGCCCCTACAATTAGAAACGGATGCTTTAGATTAATGTTAGAAGCTCTCACACCAGGTGGGGTCTAGCGAAAGATCATACAAGGCAAGCCTTACACAATGTAAGAAGCTCCGGGAAAGGATTATACGAGGCAGCCTTACCCCAGTGCAATGTTAGAACCCAAGACCTCTTGGCACAAGTGGGGAGTACTTCGTCGCTGCGCCAGGCCTATCATTCAAACGCTCACATCCATACACGAGAAAGTGTTTTTGAAGAGCCACAACTCAGCTCTGGTCAGAACAATTCTACCAGCCAATTTGGATCTCATGAACAGGTAGATTAAGTATATCCATATAAAAATCCATAATAGATACAGCAAACACCACACATTGTTCACGATCAATCAAGGTGGGAAAGGGTAAATAATTTGCAAGGGAACCACATTTTGTTTGATTAACTTTAGGTACACATTATTCATCCGACGTTGGGAAACCAAAAACAAAAACAGAAGCCCCAGTTTCCCATTGATACAAGGAAACTACACAGCAGTATTTCTGAGCTTCTGAAAGAGCTTCGTCAACATCCAAGAAAGCTCAATTGTTGATCCATATCCTACAAAAACAGGAATTGCTCTTTCAGTGATTAATGGTAAAACTCACAAGAATCAGCAGTGAGGATCATCCTAACATAAGGAGAAAACAAAGAGGAACAAAGGTACTAAGTTTCAGAGTAAGTGCTAGCCAAAGAAAAGCTACTTCATAACTACAAGTCACACACGTCGCAGTTCCTTTTTTTAGACAATTAAGTGAATTTTCATTACCCAGCTTTGACAAAGCACAAAACATAAACATCACGAAAACACATGTCACAGATATTTGCTTCTAGAATATCCAAGTGGAGAACATTCCGTCAGACACAATTTTGTTCCAGATTAGAAACCATCAAAAAACGAAAAAAACACCAATACACAATGGATGATTACAAGTTATTGAATAAGAATTTGATATGCACTTTATCTTTCAGGAGATGTGAGTGAAAAGGAACTGAACATCATCAGACATTTATGGACAGGAACAACTGGATTCAGCAAATTACTTCTTGGATCCGGTTATTAAGACATGAATATAATAGGAGACTACAAGGAGGGAGACCAACTAAAATCTGAGACACCAACTCACGGACATAAAAGGGAGGCTTAACATCAGTTAACAGCAACTACTGAATTTAATCAAGCAAAGCAATATGGCAACACAAATCTTGTGGAGTAGTGTGATGTCAACAGCACTTGTTGGTCGAAAAGCAAAGGTGGGGAGGAAGGCAAGATTGTTTCAGATAAAGCTAATATTATGTTGTTAGCTTCCAACTGCATTTTTAAGAATATTGCTCAAACAAGGCGATGTGAAGTGGTAAGCAGTTTAAACAAAGATCTATCATCAATGCTACTGTTATTCATTAAGTGATCAGATGCATGGGAATGGCAATACTATTGAGGGAAACAAGAATGGATGGGGCATTAACAAGATCATGAAAGGAAAAATAGGGAACAATGTGACATTAAGGCCACGTAGAAGTCTGCTAGAGGTGTAAACAAATCATGGTTTCCATTCTTCGGCCAGCCAATAGGGATTCACGTGAGACTGGAGAGAGGTCTACTTAGATAAATGCAATTGCTTAGATCAACATTCTTCAAAAAATTATATAAATCAAGTTGGGAAACAGAAGCAGTCAGTTTAATTCTCTACTGTGACGACTGGAGAACACGGCCAGAGGAAGCTCTGCCAAGCCCGAAGTACCACTTCTCCCACCTCAAAGACCCAATCAGATGACATTTACCTCATTGCAAAGGAGCTCACTGTGCTATACTATTTTCTAAACTAGCCTTACATTCAAATGACGCAAAACCCGAGCTGTACCATCAGTTCGACAGGGCAAATGGGGCTACCATACAGTACCAACCAAATCAGAAATTCAGTACAAGTCTAGCACATTGCAATCCAATTCTGTCAAGCATAACAGCAGCGCAGCAGCATCAGAAAAGTCTCCAGTGATCTGCAACGCACTAACAATCAACATGACAATCCAGCTACGGATAAATGCGCAAATTCACACC